TTGCCACCACTCGCGAGAATTTCTGCCCCACCGGACTTAACGGTTTGACTGGGTTCCGTCGGACGAGCCACGACTTAAGAGCTGCCGTCATTCCTCCTCATCGCCAGCACATCTTCTGCCATTGGGGCCCAGGTTAATCTCACACTTTCTCCGATGTAGTTGCTGTGCCTGCAACTGCACCAGATGAGGTAAAGAACTCTCGACCTTTCCTGCCGTGACATGTGGAATTTTCACCTCATTACCTGGGGCCTCATAATTACCTCCGATCTGCCTGCAGCTCCAACACCAGGCGCTGTGAGAAGACGGTTGATGACTTCTGAGATGTTCTTGATGCATGCGAGTAGTCACCAATAGACAAGGGGATAATTCTACCGTCAAGACACAGCACTTAGCTAGCTGTCGGTGTCTTGCGTGACGGTGACAGCCGTTTAGTTGACTGAAATGAAAACGTACAACTGCTCACACGTAACAACTATAGAGGAGCGAAATGCACGAATTCACGAATGGCGGTTCAGGGATGAGAGAGTTGTTTGGAATTAGTTGACAATACTTTAGATGCTCACCTGTTGTTCACCTAGATGTTGTTAGCAAAATCTAGCGAAGCGATAAGTAATGTGATGCACGTGTTACTTATTTTTATAAGGATGGCCATTGCTGTTAAACCGTGGATCACATAGTGTAATGGGTATTGTGTTTGGTCCCATGCGTGGCGAGCTGTAGTTCGATGTCCCATTCAGTTTTGACGGACTGAATTGGTACTTTGGCTGAATTATGTTATCCTCCAAGTCAGGCACGTAACGATCAGGTGATGGAACACCTCAACGTAAATTTAGCCGCCTTACACCAGCTATCGCTGCAATCAGCACATTTTCAAGCGACCACTGTTCTGGACGAAGTAGTGCAAAACACCCAGCGTATTTCTTTCTAAGCCACAAAAGGTTAGCTTCAAAAAATTACCCATGAAGACTTCAGTGCGGCAGATGTTACAAATGGTGTTCACGACACTTTCGTGAACGAGCACTGTCCTGAAACAGAACTGGCGAATACATTCGCTGATGACAGCTTTCTTCAGCCGTTCCATGATCCTGGGTCCATGTTCGTGAATCCTGCGTCGAATACAGCCTCAAAAGATAAAATCAAGTGGAACATGGCAAAGGTATTAAAGTGGTCGCTCCATGAACCATCGTTGGACAGTTTTCGACCGTAGAAACCTCATTGATGTAATGGTGCGGGGAGTGAGTGTAGTATGGCGCGGCCAGGTTTCGTTGAAATCACACATAATAAGGTGTCTAAAGACGACCTCGTATGCGAATAACTCGCTTTTGTTCTAACATCGAAATCAGTTTATTTGATAACTGATAACTCCAACAACTGACCTCTTTGTAATTTCGCCTTGACTAAACTCAGCACTCCCTGTTGTGCGTTGCGTGCAAGAAGCCTGCAGCTGGAGGCCGTAAGTGGTCCGGGGAGACAGCGGAGGGGGGCTGGGTCGTGCTTGAGAAGTGTTCAGAACTCTGCGGTAGCCCGTGTGCGCTTATACGCGCGTCCGTGTGCACGGCGCCTGGTTCGTCAGCACTGATTGGTCGATTCTGAGCGGCCAGTCCGAGGGTACTTCACTAGGCAGGCAGCCATGCGGCGTGGCGCCGCCAATTCCTTCCCCGGCTATGCAACCACGTGGTAACTGCAATGGTCACGCCGACGTTCTCCGCGGCCGCTGATCCTCTGAACTGCCGATTCCATCTAGTCCGAACTCCGTTCGTTCCGCAGTGGCATTTTACCCTCATTTGCTGGATCTGCCAGTGCAAGCACCAACTGACTTTCATTCCCTACAGACGCAAGACTTGGCATCCACTCAAATCCCCCCTTGGTCCCTGCTTCTCCGTGAAACAGGTGATCCATTACCGCACCAAACACCACTGGTTGGCAGACAGAAGCATACTTTTTAACTGTTTTATGCTGACCTTTTTGGGAAACCTCGTTGTACAAGCACGCAAACGTTCTTGCAGTCAGCATTCTGCTGTTAAATTAACACCAGATGGATCTATCCTCCTCATTCTCCTTCTGTCGCCGGCACTTCGTAAACTTACCTCTGGTGAGTCGCGCCTCCTCCCCATCCCCATACGTGACCTCACTGAATCCTCCTCCTTCCCTTCCCTCTGCCCTTCTTCCTCCTCCACGTCTTCTTCTTCTTCTCCTTCTTGCACCGACTCCTCAAGATCCAATCACAGTGAAGCGAAAGTTCAGTTTGGCTTGCAACCACCGCAGCGTCTGTGGACTGTGCTCTTGCTGATTGTGTTTGGCTTTCAGTTTGCTGTTTTCCGAGCACACGCTATCCCTCTGACTCCCGGAAGCTTTCAAAACACCACAGTGCGAAGCACTTCTTTCCCAATCAAGACAATCAGGCATCCGACATTTGAGCTGTCATTGGATGCCCTGTGGCAGCAGCCTGACAGAGGCTGTCGAGTCGGTCGCAGCACTCTTCGCATCATAAATTCTGTCAACGGCTCAATTATGCGTCTGTACATCGAAAGGGCTGATTCAACTAGGGCTTACGTCACATTCACCGAAAACGGCACAATGCAACTTACCTCAAATGGGACCGAGGAAGAAAGTAAGTGGCTTGGTTTTCAGGTTCTGATGCCGAGACTCTTCTGACTTTTGCAAAGGAGACCTGCTCCGTCAACTCTTTTTTCGTCGTCGGTTCTAGTGTAGTTATCAAACTCCGCAGTCGCTCCGCTTTGGGGACGTCTCAACCAAAGTTTTAGTGGTTTGCACGGCTAGCGCATTTCAGGCAATTCATCGTTACTTCGTTTTAATACTACTGTCTAAATTGTGCAAATAGTGCTAGTATTTCAGTCGATACTACAACCAGTACTAATATTCCAACTATAATATGTACTGCAGTAACTTGTACTACTACCATCTCCACAACTATTGCTTTCCGTTTGATTGCTGGCGTAGCTAATATAGCTGCAACCACGTTTGCAACAGTTAACAATACTGCTGTTATGGGACTGAGGGCCGAAACGCTTCAGCTTTGGCGTGAGGACTCTTAGGTTGCTTTCGAAGAGAAGGTATCACTTGAGTCTTGTCCAAATACTGCTAACTACAACAAACAGTTGCATCAGTTCGCATAAGTTAAAAGATTAGCATTTGATTGTAAACGTAACTGGCAGCCTACGACGTGTTCCCTTTCAACGATGTTACAAACATAGCAGATGTTTGCTATTGATCCTTGACATTTGCCTAAAATAATTTCACGAGCGAAGATGAAAACTAGTATACCAGCAACCCGTTCAGAGGAAAATTTGAATAAGTAATAGGAAGGCAGTTCTTGACCGCATCAAGCTCGTACTCGGGTTCATGAGCAGGATGGAAATAAATTCCAAATGCTCTTTCTCTCTCTATTTCTACTGGTATGTCCGAGTCGGCCATGGACCTGTCTTCTATACAAATGGCTGCATTGCGCCGAGGATGCCTATGGGAGTTTCGTATGACGAGTGATCTAGTCCCTGCATTAAGGTTATGAAAGTTGAAATTAACTAACAGTTTTGCGAATCCAGTACCAAGCACTAGTGTGCCTGGCAATTCAAAGTTCATGTGGGTGTCCAAGACATGTTAGCCCCCTTCTAATAGATGCTTCCGAGATCTCTTTGCAGTCGTGTGGTCCATCAACCCTACTGCATTGCCCATGCGTGTAATAAGTTCATTAAGTCAGTCCCGAATCCGCTCCCATCGTAAAGGGTGGCACAGCATTTCCCATGTGTTCCAGATTTCTTCAAGGCATTTGTAGGCATTCGGATGCCATGTCATTGTCATCCAGAGAACTTTGACTGCCCTCTGAGAACGCCTTCTGAGAAATTTCGATGTTCAAGTAAACCGTAAAGAAGCGACAGGTTTCACGGGAATGTGCTTCAGGATCTAGCCCTGTAAAGAAAGAGATTAACTCGTATTTCGCCTAGGAACTTTCGAAGGGAACTGATGAGGGGGGACGTCGTTACACATTTTACTAAACCATCGGCCGTAGAACTCATACAGAAACAGCCTCGTCCGACTTGCTCGTCTGGCTATAATTCGTCACATGAGCCGTGGCCTGAGTCCTGACGTCAGTTCCTGCTTACCGCTGATGCGTGTTCGGTCGTTCGGGTCATGAGTGAAGAGTATGTGACGGGTTTCAAAACATCACTGACTTATGGGAAAGCAGGAGAAAACTGGCTGCTGCACGGTTTCGTCAATTGTCGCAAGGGAATAATCTAAACACTGCGCCATTCTGCACCTGCCACCTCTATTTATTGTGGTCCTGCGGACTGCTTCCTGAGTGGGTCCGAAACTGCATCCATGAGCACACTTTAGCCGTGAAGCGAAAAGATGCACGCTTACACGTCGCTATGCACAGTCTGGAAAATAACCGTTGGTTTGGCTTTGACGACACTCAAGTGCTCGGCCAGGCGGAAAACAGGCCGGGGGAGAAATTATGGGGGACCTGCCAAACGGACGATAACTCCATCAACCGCAGCGTCTGCTTACCGCCACCATATGAGGCCGCCAAACACCACTTATGCACCAGAAAAGGCGCAATGAGGGTAGTGATTAACGGCCCTATCAGGGGTGGGCGAGAAGTACCTATTTAAACCGTGCAATTCACATATTTCCCATCTCCGATGATGCGCTTGAGTATGAGTGTGAAATGTCAGATGAATATATCATCATCTGCAAAGCTCACCTTCCCAACTTCTTCAATATATATATATATATACATATATTTGAGAGCGAAAGTGTTCTTTGAGAAAAGTAGAAAACTACACTAAGTACTTTTTTATTGGAAATATCTAGTTCCTTTGTGTTCATCTTCTGTTGTCTCATGCATCAGTGTACGAAATCTCTAAGGTAACCGTTCTGGGAAAACAATTCGAGCGGGTAATTTAGTTCGACTCGGTAGTTTTTATCGTCAGAACAATGTGTTTTTGCTGAATGTGCAGACTATTGACAGTGCTCCGCTTTTGAGGAATTGGTCTGTTGCTTTCATAGTGCAGAATTACTTTCGCACATGTTTCTTTGCGGTAGACGGCCATGTGTGATGTTCCGTGGGTTTTCGCTGTAGGAGAACATCCAAAAGTAAGAGTTTATTGTCAAGTTCTTTTTGATGCGTGAATTTGATTTCTGGAATGGTTGAGTTGATGGTGTTGTGGAGCATTTCTAGTAGATTCTTTTCAACGACGGTAAATGTATCATCTACATATAGTACCTAAAACTTAGGGTTAACTAATAAAGGATCTGCCGCTTACTAGCGCAAACGCCAAATGAATATCGATTTTCAGCTCGCTTGAAATATAAACTGTTTTTAGCACACTTGCTTAAGTCTGGCGGCGACCTGGAAAAAAAGAGTCAAAAATTTACTGAGTAAAATTTTCGAATTTTTCCAAAGAACGTGATGGACTTCAAATTATATTTCTTGGGATGCCAACGTTCCAGCATACATATACATATATATAATGACAGATGGGCGCTCGCCGATCAAATTGTCGAACATGCTCGTTCCGTTATGCATTGAGACTCGTACAAGGACCCTCACGGGCAGTTGTACAGTAATTAGTAGTATAAGTAAATGAGATGGCACCGAAAAAGACAAGGGAGACCGGAATCGTAATTTCTAGCATAGTAGCAGTCATCAGCCAGTTACACCCAACCCCAAGTGTGGATCGCTTGCGATTCGAAGCCGGGGTATTAAGTCATGGAGTTTGACACTCTACCACTGAGCCACGGGCCCGCTGTCCCGTCGGTCGTGATCGGGAAAATTAATTATGACAGATGGGCTCCCAGCGATCAGGTTTCGGAACAAAGTGGTCCCAGTGTCAAGCTCCATGACTAAAAATCCCGGCTTCGAATCTTAAGCGATCCACGCCTGGGTTTGCGTGTGACTGGCTGATGACGGCTAATAAGCCAGAAATGGCCATCCCGGTCTCCCTTGTCTTTGTCGGCACCATCTCATATAGTAAGTTAAATAAAATAGACTTGTAGTTTTTCCCTTTCGACACCATTGAGAAGGGCAGGCCTTGCTGGAAGAAATTATAGTCCCTCTATTGGCATATGTTCAATTACTGCGAACGACACACTTACTAGGCTAATCCACCATCAGTAGCACGATTTTCCGGAATTACTTGTACACTTTAGGAAAGGCATTGTAGATATATCCAGTCACACGCTACGCCGTATGGACTCGCAGCCAAACATCTGGAAAGATCAATCTATAGCAACCACGGATAAAATCTCAGAGAGGTCCAAGCTCATCTGGTCGCCGGACACAGAGCCCACTACACTCGAATTTCAGGTGGGCACGTTTGTCGTCGCTTCGCCTCGTTTAGTGTCTGGCCCCTGCACAGTACGTGAACCTTGAACGCGTTTTGTTATTGCTGGACACAACTGCAACCGTTGTGTCCGGCTTGCTGACAAGGGACCGGCCACCGCGCCTCATGTAGAACCTTTGTCCATATCAGACTGACCGGTTCTCCTGTGCTTTCGGCTAACCGGCAGGGAGGGGGGAGGGGTTACCTGGCGATCGTGAGGGGGATGTTGTGAAGACCTAGAAATAAGATGTGCAGCGGAAAGTCGGCCAAAATTGCAGCCAGTTAGGTGAAAAAAAACAGGTTTTCATTCTCGGCTGTTTTTGACGTTTTATGACGCGCTTTGGGGTCTGTGTGGACCGGGAGCACAGGACTGCTTTCTGCTCAGGGAAGATTTTAGGACATTTAGGTAACTGTAGCTAGAAGCGTAGAAGTCAGCACAGGTTAGGCCTATCGTTCATTCGAGTTCCCGCCTTCGAACTTCCTGCACAAGGAATTTCGTGCTTTTCATAGTTATGCAAAGCATTATCCACACATTATTCCTGCTGTTTTGATAGATCCTAGGTAACAGTGATAGAATCGCATCGGAGTTAAAACTGACAGTATAAACATGAATCCATAAGGCACTAATCAAAATGTGCGAATGTAAATTCGAGCACTAAAACTAAGGTGTAATTGCAGTACTGACCAGAATCAAACATACTCCCACGCTAGCGTGTAAGTGTTAGCAGACTAACATTTCGCTCAGTGCTTACACAGTCAACTGCGCGAATAGAAATTACAAAATAGTTCTACAGTAGGTAGGCTAATTCATGAAATGTCAACCGAAATGCGTTTTCGTTTCGAAAATATTAATTAAGTAGGGTTGTAGAACTAATGATCGTGCAGAGTAATTCTATAATATTTCAGTTACCTCAGGACTGCATGCAAAAGCTATACTCGGTTAAAAATGAGTACACATTTAGCATGCATTTTCTCATTGATTTTCGATGCCCTTAAAAATTTAATTATCTTTCGTGGAAAACATGCATAAGCATATTCATTCTTTTGCTAATTCGGTAGACAATTACATCTTCTTCCAAATGTGCACTCGAAGGAAGGGTACAATTAGGTTTTCAAAAAGCTTCTAATTGTGAGATTTTTTGATACCGTGAAATGGCCGTTCATAAATCGCCATGTCTCTGCATTTACCAATGTGGCTTTTAAAGTTAACAATATGGCTTACATCCACCGCTAAATGTTATGAACATCATATGTTCTTCTCTTAAGACCGTAGAGAAATGCATGGTTTTCCGTACGCGGAAAATATTCGGC